AGTGCAGGCTGCCAGGTGCCGTGGGGCCGGTGAAGGAAGAGGCCCGAGAAGGGGCGGCACGAGAAGCAGCAGCACGCAGGCTGCCAGGTGCCGAGGGGCACGTGAGGGATGTAGTGGAGCCGTCAGCCCCAGAAATGGGGGATTGGAGGTTCGAAGAACAGTTGGGGGAGGAGGCCCTGCTGGTGCTGGAGGCATCGGCTCCTCCTCAGTTGAGACCCCACCTGGTTGAGACCCCACCTGGTTGAGAGCTGGTGCAGAGCCAGAAGGACTCGGCAACCGCGGGCTCCTCCAGGAGAGGTGCAGCCCCCTCCTCAGGCTGTGGAGCCCCTCACGCTCTGCTTCTATCCTCAGGCTCAAGCACAAAAGGAAATAGGGTCTGCTTCTTGAAGGAAAAATTTAAAGGGCCCCGTGGGGGTCACAAGGACCCAGATGTGGGTTGGTTTGAAAAGGTGGGAGTAGACGGAAAGAAATTGGATGCCTAGAGCTGTGGCAGCAGTTGGGGCCAGAGCTGTGGTTCTGGCTGCTGAGGACGAAGCAGAAGGAAGAGGTAAAGTAACAGGATAGGGTTGTGTGTCTGCAAGACTTTCTGCTGGAGAGGCTGAGAAGGTGGGTATTGTAAAGCCCATCCATGGTCCTTTTGGTTAGCTCATTTGAGTAGAACTGGTTTGAATACAGCCAGGATGACCACTGGGTGGCAATGGATCTCCTCAGGCTTGAGGGTTGTTATAATTTGTCATAATTTTTGTTTGTGTGTTGTATTATGTTATTATGGAATTTGGTTACAATGCTCCAGATTTCTCACACAGGGACCATTGCAGAAGATTGAGGGCACATAGAATTGAGAGGCGAGAATCCTGGAGGGGTGGAGTGTGGATAAAGTGAAGGTTCCTGTGGCCAGGATTCTCACCTGGCCCTGGTTGGCTAGCTTACTGCACACGGGTGGGCAGTGCATTGCTATTGACTCTATATAAAGAGCTCCACCCAGTGCTCTGGGTGACACGGTGGCACGGCTGCAAGGCTGCAGGAGAGCAGAGCAGAGGCTGGAGTGGTGGCAGTGCTGAGGACAGAGAGTGGGGTGGCTGTGCAGGCAGAGGGGCCCAGAGGCAGAGATGGCTTGCTGCATGCAGACTGGCTCTGAATGGACAGGATTCTAGTGATTGACCTGCCACTGTGGAAATAAAGTCGTGTATAACCCTTTCACCCCAAGAATGTTCCACTGTAATTTCTTTGGTAACGTTGAATCCATAGCAGACTTGCCCGGAGCTGAAACCCATTGGCAAGACAGGGTAAGTTATATGTCTATGCATTTCACTTCATGATAGTGAAGGGAACATTGTTAAACAGTTGTTACAGCAAGATAGTGTGGGATCTGGTAGGAGTGCACTAGGTTAGTTTTAGGAAAGTAGCTCTTGAAAAGTGATGAAGGATTTGAGTAAGTGGGTCTAGATCAATGGGTATTAGATTGTCAATGGCTGAAAGACCTTTATTCTCCTTGGGGCACTCCTCTGTGGTCCTGTTGGACACTTAGTTCCAATAGCATCATCAGGGGCGTATAAACATTATGGATTTCATTAAAGGGACCCTGGAAAATGCCGCTGGAAGGGAAACTGTTGTTGCTCAGTTGTTTAAGTTACATAGCTTTATGCTTTAAAAATGCCAACTGTTGTCTTAATGTGGAGCTTGTGGTGGCCTACCCTGAGTCAGGGCTTTCTTTGAACTCAGTGTGTGATTTAATGGGAACTAAGGCACCTGCTTTGAACACTGGCTTTACCTTCTCTAGCTTTACAGCTGAGGTAGCAGTTCTGCCTGGCTTTGCTTTTATGGGAAAGGTAGATAATATTTTGAGTAGTGTAAAGATGCGGAATCTCTCTGCCTTCCCTAGATCAGTGCTTCTCCAATAGAAATATAATATAAAAGAATTTATAAAGAGCCACATATGTAATTTACTTTTTTTTAGTACCCATATTAAAAAAAGAAAAAAGTAATAGGTGAAATTGATATTAATAAGTTTTATTTAACTGGCTGTATCCAAAATGTTATCATTTCCACATGTAATCAATATTTAAAAATTTTTAATGAAATATTTTATATTTTTTTCATGCTCAGTCTTCAGGCTCATGGTATGTTTTACACCTATACCTCTCAACTTGAGTGCAGGATTTTCACTGGAAATATTAAACTTTATATAGATTCATAAAATTTATGGTTTGAAAAAGTACATCCACCTACCCAAGAAGTTCCAAACATACTGAAGTGTTTCCTAAAAAGAGTCAAATATCTGCTTATAAATTTGTTTAAATTAAATTTAATTAAATGAAATTAAAAATTCAGTGCCTTGGTTGCACTAGTCACCTTGCAAGTGTTAGTGGCTCCATGTTGCTCCTGGTGGCTACCATTTTGGACACAACTATAGATTAATCTTAAAACCATACTTAAGAGCTTTTATATTTTCTCAGGTTATTATTCATGTAGAATTAGTTCATGCCACAAGGTCCTCAGAAACTGCTTTACTAGATTACTTTTCTTCATCCAAGTTATAAGTGCCTAGGGAAAAATAGCTCTGCATATCCCCAGGCATGAAGCCCCCTTCTTGCAGATAGTAGATATTTAATAAATGTTGTACCAAGCTGAATCGTTTTTAATCCTCAAATTGTAACTTACATTAACTTTCTCAGGGAAGTGTTTACTGACTCTCCAGTCTATCATATGTTCACCCATTACGTTTTCTCATAGAACTTGCTTATTTGCTCCAGAACATATATACTTGCACACTGTCTTGAGTAATTTTGTGGTTAGTATCCATCTCACCAACTAGTCTCTAATTTCTACTAGAGAGAGAACTGGGTTTTATTCACTTAAGTATCCCTTGCTCCTAGCATAATGCATGGTATGTGTGCAAAATTGGCTAGATAACAATAGTACAGGGCCATTTAAAATATGAAGTGATTAGCAAAGTGTCCAATTCTTAACTTGACAGAAGTTGGAGTTTGTTTTGTGTTGAGGAAGAAGGAATATTTTAAGAAGTATACACTCTAAAAAGTATGCAGTTTCTTAGTTTTTGTTTGGTCTTTTCAAGATACTCGTTTTGTATGTATGCTTTTTCTTAGCTTGCTTTCTACTTATATTCATTTTCTGGAAATAGATATCGCCTCACATCTGTCTTTGCTTATAACTTAATATATACTAAAAATAAACACTAAAAATTGGAAAACTGCATTGTGAAATACTTTTAAGGGACTGAGAAAGGTAGAGAGCAAAAGCAAAAGTGCATAGAGAAAGCATCTCTTGCTGTTTCAAGATGGTTTGAAATAAGCCCACCCTTTTAATTATAGCAGAGTAATGAGCCTTACCCACAATATGTGAAAATATAATTAAAATTGTATTGTGGGCGAGTAGACCAGGTTGTCAGGTCATTATCTGAATCACAAAGTTGGAAGTAATGCATATTAAAGGTTACTAGTTTGGAAAGGTTAGATTACAATCGAATCTTTGTAAATCAAAAGTTTCTCAATTTGAATAATGCTTTAGGAAACTGCTAGCATTTAATGTTTTATTAAAAAACTTCATGGAAGCAAAATAAGCATGCAGAAATGTGCATTATAGGGTACAGCCTGATGCATTTTCACATCCAGATCAAGAAATAGTACGCGTCCATCACAACATCCCAGAGGCTGCGTTCTTGCTTCTCCCCCTTTCCTGCCCTCCAGGGTAAACCACTATCCTGACATAGATAAGTTTTTCCTGTTTTTGTACTTTATATAAGTGGAATCATGCGGTATCTGCATTTGAATTCATATAATAGATTATTATTCTAAGTGACATTCTTGATAGCTCATTGAAAACAAGGTCTGTTTTCAGTTTTCCTTATTATGGATCTAATTTGGTAAACTGGCTAGTTTTCCATGCATCTAGTTCTTTATTATTCCATGTGCACGTGATTACATGCATGTCTTTACACACATATATGTGGTTTTAGGATTTTTGCTCAAGTTCAGTCTTGTGCTATGCATATTATTCACCTCTTAGTACTAGGGCTCAAATCTCTTTTTGTATCAGTTCATGTAATCTGCTTTTTTTCTAATGTGTATGGATGCACCCAAATTTAATGAACCAGCTGTCCACTGAAGAACAGTTAGGTTGTTACTGATCTTTGCTTTAAAAATAATAGAGTCCATGTAAATTTATCTGTAAAATAAATTATTAGAAATGGAATGGTTGAACAGTGGAGTCCATGCATTTTCAATTTGCTCAGGTGTTTTGAAATGGCCCTCCAAAGGGTTTTGCCAATTTTTCTCCCTCCAGCAAGGTTTGAAAATTCCTATTTGCAGTGTTCTTGCCTTAGATTATGTGTTATCAAGCCTGCTAATCTTTGCAGTCTGATACAGGAAAAACAGCAAGTCATTGTTATTTAAATTTGCATATTCCTTAGTTTTGAATGAGGTTGTTTTTATGTTTATTGGACATTTGCGTTTGGTTTGGGAGTTTTTCGTTTCCTCTTGCTCATTTTCCTATAAGCCTGTTCATATTTTCCTTAATAATTTCAAGGAGTTCTTTCTATATAAAGGCAATTAACCCTTTCGTGTTATCTATGTTAATTTCTTTTTTCAGTTTGTTTTTTGTCTTTACCATGTTTATAGCCATTTTTTTCCTAAATAGAAGGCTTACATTTTTATAATGTGTCAGATTTTTCCTTGTTGGTTTCTGAATTGTGTATTTTTAATGAGAAAAAGCATTGAAAATTTGAGGTAAATAGATAATTCAAGAGGACATAGAAAAAAAAGTCTCAAGAAGCGTCTGTGGGAATTGTTTAAGCAGGAATTTGAATTTCAGACAAAAGTGTTTTAGCCAACTTTGAAAAAACACAAATTTGGTCATTATCTGCCTAAATTTGTTTAACATTTTCAACAGCTTTTGGAAGAATTTTCAATGCTATGCTTTTTTTTTTTTTTTTTAGTATTGTTATTTGGGGTTTTAATTTCTCAAATAATCCCTCTTTTCAGATTTCAAATTATAACCTATTTCCTGCACCACTGCTGACGTCCAGTGATCCATGTCAGAAGTACTTCCAGGTCAGAAATACTTTCATATGTTTCAATGTAGAGCAATTGAGTATTAAAACTGTAAAGAATGTGTGTGGTAATTGTTTTGATGTTAAATTTAGGATTTGCTGAAGTAACATGTTTTTGCTTTTCATTACTCTTCACTAATGTAATAGAAGAGTAGATCTTTAAAATAAGACAGAAGAATCCATTGGATTTAACCGTATTCATGTAATTGCATGATTCTATTAATATATTGAAAATATTAGTAGACTATAACAGGAAATTAAAACTGTCAAATTTTGCTGTCTAGCATTGCACATTATAGTCTGAGAACTGTTAAATATGAAAAAGAGGGTGCTGGTGGTGAGTCCCCATAAACAGCAGCTTAGCCATTATGGGGTTTGTCTGGAATAGAGCTCCACAATTCAGTATTCTCTCTGGATTTAGTGCTGATTGATTTTGGAACTTAAGAAAACCACCTTAACTTTACTGTATGTCCTTTTTTTTGTCATGATGGATGCTGGTCTGCACACAACGTGGTATGGGATTTAATTCTTAGCCTCACAGTAATTTAATAAGGGAAAAGCAATTGTTATATATATATAACATTTTGAGTTAAACAGTGTGGGACTGTAAGTAGCAGGTAGATCTGGGTAGAATCCCTATTTGTTAGAACACACAGCACTCAGCACATTTTCAGTTTTTAAATAAGTAGATTTAAACCATGGACAAATAGACATTAATGTCTCTATATTCTAAAATTAAACTCATTAAATATATCCAAGACTTTTTCTCCATTATATAACACTGCATGTTACATTTCAACAGATAACTAAAATAAAACATAAACACTAAGTGTAGTAGAGGTATCTGAATGACAGAAAATATCCTTTTCATTTAAAACAGCCAAAAACAAACAATGTGGCAAAACTAAATTCACACAGGAAAACTAGAAACTTTGAGGAGATTCTTAGAGGGCATCTAATCATACTGTGATAATTTGCATCAGAGAGTAGATTTTCTTTGTAAATATGTATTTGAACAGGTATATTCATTTTGGGAAATCAAGGCAAATACATGTGTCCTTTTAAAAAATACATTTTAAATGTTGAGAATAATTCCTTTTAGGACTTCTTAGCACTTAAAATCTTCCATTATATTACAAGATAGACTCAGTATGGAAACTTTATAAAAGCAAAGCCGGCAAATATGCAAAGTGATGTGTTTTTCTCTAAATGAGCTAATCAAATAACTTCAAGAAATTTCTTTTTGTCACCATATTTTATTATGCTCATGTATTCATCCTTTCTATTGGTATTCATATTTATATGTTTAGATAACATAAGAGATAATGAAACTCTTATCTAGCATGGTTTTTTAGTAACAGCAACTACCACCAGGCATTGCTGTAAGTGTAGCACATTTTACAAGGAAAGTGGTATTCTTTTTTCAGCAGAGTATCATATTCTAGTTGCTTTTTTACTTGGAAGTTCAAGTGGCAGCTAGTGAGGGAGAGTCTGGACCAATAACCGGGATAAGGTATATTTTCAATCCTGTTCTCCAACTCTCAGGAGCTGTGAATACAGGGAGCCTTTTAAACACAAACATACCAAACTCTATATACCATATCTGCCTGAAAAATTCCTGTTGAGTCTTCAGGATTCAACCCAGGAGTCCCCTCCAAGTAGGTCTTACCCTGTGATGTAGTCAAGTAATTACCCCATTTCAAGGATTCTGTCATTGTTTAATACTTTTTCCCTTTTGGAATTCACTTGAGGACCCACTTGTCAGTTACTCAAGAAAATCCATGTCATTACCTAGAGTTCACCCACTTTTTTTCACTCAAACTAGTGTTTTCTGTCTCGATCGTTGACCGTATTCATCAGATGTGACCATAAATGTCTAGAGCTATATTTATGAAATCCATTCATCTCCAGGAGATGTTCAGGCTCTTCTAAATGATGGAAACAGCTTAAAATTGAGCAGAGAAAATACCCCAAAGCATATAGTATCTCAAGGTGACTACTTAGAAAATCTTCATTCTTATTTTGAGTATATAAGTTCTGATTGGTGTTTCCTAAATAACTGATCTCCGCATCTGCATGCCAGATTTTCCCCATCTGGAGTGCCTTTCTTGTCCTTGTCCACTGAATACTCTGTTCCGGATTCAGCTCCCCTGTTCTTTTTGTGGGAAGCCTCCTCTGAACCTCTCTCCTCATCCTTAATGCCTTCTTTTAAGGCATTCTGCTTACTCGCGCCATTGTGAGTTTGTTGAATAACCTTTCATCTCATTGCCAATTCCAAGTTCCTTAAAGAAAAATACCAGGCATGTTTCAGCTCCACTTGGGATGTTGGACAGAATGAACCCTCAGGCAGTTAAGGTGAATGGGAACGGGAAATCCTTAGGTCACACTTCAGCTGTTGAAATCACCCTTTTGTCTTTGAGCCTGGGGAAGTGCCCTGTGAATCCACTGTGTGAAGTTGCTCTCCCAGCTCTAGAAATTTCCAGGGTTCTAATCCTGTGATCTCTCTGACTCAGGGACTGAAGTTGCCTCCTAATAACCTTTGCCTCTTTTATTCAGAGAGAAGTTCTTATCATTTTTGTCACATTGAGAGTTTACTTTCATGAGTAATTTCAGGAAACTGGCTTCATTTTGCCTCTCCTTCCTAAAAGAGAAAAAAAGAATCAGGGTTTATTTCATTTCCTTAAACTTTGAGGTCTTATTCAAAAGACAACATTCCTCAGGGTAGAAATTTTGCTGTTAACTCCTCAGTGAAAATAGAATTGTGTAGAAGAAAAATAAAACTGGAGAAAATGTGAAGTTTCTTTCAACAGTGGGACGAACATTGGCCTTCCCTGGCCCATTTTGTCAATTCCCAATTTTTGAAGCCTGTTAGTGGGGCAGAGGGCGAGCAGCAGGTCATCACAGAGAGGAGTGCCCTGTCATTACTGACAAGCTTTCCCTTTGACAGAAGGTTGGAGGTCTGAAAAAAGAGAGGCAGCGAGGGCGGGCTTAACTGCAGGCTTGCGGCATGGGTTTGTATCAGGATGTCATCTGAGTTATGGGGTTACGTCTGAGCACCGGGACCTTTGTGACTCTGACATGGAGGAAAGCTTTGTTAGTGGTGGAATTGAAGTGACCCTGGCTTACCTCATTTTGTTCAGGCCTCATAAAAGGTGCTCTGTGTATTAACTAAACGTTTCTAAAAGGAGAAAGTAAGTTTAAAGTGGTTTAAGCAAAAAAAAAAGAAAAAAAAAGCTATTGGCTTCAGTACTCAAGAAGCCTGGGCTCTCACGACTCAGGCATTTCTTGCTTCGAGGGCCCCAGCAGTGTCCTTGGAGTTCACTCCTTTCTCTCCCTCTAATGGCTCAGTCGCTTGTTAGGTTCATGCTTACTCAAGTTGTCTCTTTACTGTCGGTGGTCCCTTAAAGCTCTAGTTCAAGTAAATGAGAGAAGAGAGCACCCCTCTTCTGATCATTCTGGCAAAAGTCTTAGGATTGACTCTGTGCGGGTCAGAGTTGTGACTGGCTTAGGATAGTTGTGCTACAGTTACATCCTACTCTGGTGGGGTCTGAGCCTTGTGTCCCATGAAGTAAGGGGTAGAATCATCTGGGCCTAAAACACATGGGCTGGCCTCTGTAACATAAGCTTTGTGAGAGTAGTATTTTTATTCCGTCAGGTTTGTTCATTGCTGTATCCTCAGTTAGAACCGTATTTGTTGCATAGCAGTACACAAAAAAATAACTGTTGAGTGAATGAGTGAGCATACAGAAAGGCTGATTCCTCAAGAAAAATTGTGACTGCTAATTTCTTTTTGGGTAGTAAATATGTTCTGCATTTAGATTATAGTGATGGGTGTGTTCCTTTGAATATGCTAAGCACCACTGGGTTGTACTTTAAACAGTGAACTTTATGATATTTTATATGAATTATATTTTTATATTTATGGAAATTATATTTTAATACAACTCATAAAAAATGAACAGAACATTTTTTTGAAAATACAACAAAGACGACTCTTCCTAAAAATGAACAGAACAGTCACTACCCTCAAGGAGCTTGCAGTTTAGAAGGGAGATGGATGTCTCCTTTGGGATTTATAGTTTAGTACAGAAGGGCTGAGATGGGTAGCATGTTGCATAGTTTGCCTAGAGGAGAGGCAATCTCACTGTGTACAGGAATCAGAGAAGGCCTAGAGGAGCTGGGTTTTGAAGGATTTATAGGAGCTGTCAGCAGAAAGTAGGGTGGCGTAGGAGAGATGAGCGGAAAGGACATTCCTGGGCAGAGGAAACAAACTTTATAGAGAGGCAAAGAGCTGCAAAGGGCTTGGCATCCTCGGGGAAGGGCTGTAGTATGGACAAGACGCCCAGTGACAGGAGATGTGACTGATAGGGTGGACTGAGGTTAACTGAGGAGAATTTGAAGTGCCTTGTGTCCTGAGCTGAATTTGGACAACAGCAAGCCAGTCAATGTTCTTAAGCAAGAGAGCTACATGATCAGTTTGTTTTTAGAATGAAAAAGGGCAAAATGTGTCAGTCTACAGTGGAGTTTGAGAGAGCATTGTGCTTGGGTGATCTAGAAGGAAACTTGTAAGTGATGAGGACCTGACGGCAGGCGTGGAAGAGGTGGGAAGGGGGAACTCGATTTATTGGAGAAACATTTTCAAGTAAAACTGACAGAATGTGGTAGTATGAGAAACTCCTGAAGGGCTATTCCAGGATTTCTAGCTTCGGAAACTGCAATGGTGGCAGTGCCACAAATTCTTACTTAGGGTCCAGCCCGTGTGCCCATGGATTTAACTCCTCCTCCCCCCAGTTTATAGGGAGCAGTAAACCAAGGGGCCTTTGATCCGGGATCCAGAGTGAAATCACATGAGGCAAAGGTAAATGGACTGGCTTAAATGCACCAAGTTTGGCATCTCAGTCTAGCTTCAGTGTTGGAGAAAGTAGGCTAAAATATGCCTTATGTGCAGATGAGAGAAATCAAAGGATGGAGGGAGGCAGCAGAGGAAGATACTCATTTTTT